GTAAGGTTACAGGGCCTTTGGATTCCACCCAGGGGCCAGGTAGGCAAATTTTGGTATTTCGGTGTGAAAAGGAGGCTTTTAACTCAGAGTCCTTGTGGGAAACGATGTTCCTTCTTTTTCATTTCAATGCTGTCTGCTATCGACGGGCATCCGATGCTGTAAACACAGGGGGCCGACAGTCACACTTTCTTTTAGCAATTGCCAGCCCCACACACACCACACATGGTTTAATCCTCGGCGGCGTAGCCCGTGAAGCGGCACAATCTCGAATGTTTGCAAAGGGTTTTCCTCTAAAAATACGCAGATCACCCCCTACTCCCCCCCCTCCCTGCCAGCTGACACTGAAGTGAGAGCTTGTGCCTCTTCATTTAAACGTTGTGCTGCTCTGACCTTATTTCTGACCCGGGATTATGAAGGCAGGAATTTACATATACAGGCCATAACTGTTCTTACATCCTCGATTTTCTATTGGCGGCTACAAAATTTAGGGATTTCATGACCTGACCAATAGTAAATGGGATGGAATAAAGCGGTAGGCCAAGTCGGTCTGGAACAGGTATTCGGTAAGTTCAGAACATACTTATACACATTAAACGTAGTATGATGCTGTATAAAAGTACTATGACTAGCACATAAGTCAATGTAAGGAATACAGTTATTTACTGGAATGTTGGTGTGCAGATACAAGTAGTATGATCCTTTTAACTGTACATAAAGCAGTTGATCAAAGTATAAATAGAGATCTGAAAGGTGACACATTTACTATATGCACTGCATACTGTAGCACCAGTGCAATACAGTTCATTACCATTCTCAGTAGGGAAAGTGAAAAATGTATAAGCAAAGTGATAAATTTAACAGGGGCAGGAGGATGTATCAGCTGTTGGGCTCATTGATTCACTTTACCTGTGACATAGTCTGTATTTAAGATTGGTTTTGTTAAACCACGTCTCCATTACTCCAGGACTCTCCTGTCCCTGTGTCCCATGCCCTTGTTTCGGTGTCCCACTTGGAGCCAACTGTCTGATGTTAATTGTTAATCAGTCACCTTAGGGACTGGACTGGGGTCTTTTATATCCAGGATGTGATGTCACTGTCCAAAAGGAAGTTGCGTAATCGGTGTGGGATTTGTTAGCTGTCAGCCGAGTCACCGGCGTGCTATCCGGGTGAGAGGTCATGCCCTTCCAGGGGCCCCGGATCTGGGATCCTGTCCCTTATTAGGGTCTCTGCATCCCACGCCGCTTCGGACGGAAACTCGACCTTTCTGTCCCTTTTGTCGCATTCCCTGCGACTGCTTGCGGATGACCCCTGGGTGTTTTTCAGACTTGTGTGGAGAATGACAAAGCCCCCCCCCCCCCCCCCCCCCCCCCAGCACATTATTGTCAGTTTATCGTCAACCCTGGTGAACCGTGAAGTGTGCGTGTCTGTTTCTTCACAGCAGGTGTGTGTGTCTGCGCGTGTGCGTGCTATTTCCTGCGCGCGCCGTGCTTTATGGTAATGGCATCCTGGGCCCGTCTGGTGCTTTGGTGTTTCTCATAACCCCCTTCTTTTTTTTTTTCCAGTCCCGATGACATTGGCACCTGCTGGTACATCCTCCTGTCTGGCTCCGTGTTCATCAAGGAGTCCATGTTCTTGCCGAGAAGCAGGTACGTCCGAAAGTTTCTCCTTTGACCTCGCCGGGACGCCCCGATCTCTGCAGGGTGACGTTGGCGCTTAATCTCCGATTTCGCTTAAACTCCCCCATCTCGCCGATGCTCCCTACGTTCCCGCTGTGGCTGAATCTGGATGATCTTCTCTTCCTGAAGACCACATGTGGTCCCTCAGATGCGATGCCAACATTATGCAGGAATGCAAACGGCGCTACGGTTTATTAAACACGAATCTGCATAATGCGTGTCATTAAACCTAGCCGGGAGACGGCCTGCAACATTCCCGGTATAGCCCCGGGTACAGTGTGGGGGGGGCGGAGACGGTTGCCAAGGTGCTGGGCGCTACGGTAATCGCGTCCGCCAGCTCGTTCGCGGGTTAAAAGCCTGCTTGGAGGGCCGTTACGCTGTTAGTGCTCGCGGAGAGTTTGAAGACCACGCACACCTGCATCCTGCACCTACACGGGAGCAGCCGACATCTCATGTTCTGCACACTTCGGTTACGGCCGGGAAATGGGAATCCAGATCCGTTTTACACGGTCAATAAATCCTGTATTTGCGCACAGTCGATTCCGGAACATTCTGTCGTTCGGTTTATGTGATAATGCCGAGTCGGGATTATCACGCTTGCATGGGGGGGGGTGTTCTGTTTTATATGGAGTTTTGACTTGCAAACACGCCTGGTATATAAAACTGGAGGTATTTCAGCCCTTAACCTTAAACGTCTGTCAAGGAAAACCGCATAAAATTTAAGTCGACTGAAGCTTGATTGGGCCTCCAGTCTAATTCGCCACTAATCAATTAAACGTGGGTGAAATCTGGGGGACCGGCTGAGATGAGCTCTCGTATCGTAGTCGATAATTCAGCCTTTTTTCGTTTTATGGAGGATTTTAGTGCAAGTTTCACGTTTCCTGCATTGTCTGTGGCGTCTCCCGCTAGCCACCCCCCCTCGCCGCATGTCTGTGTTTCTGCTTTTCTTTGGAATGCAGCTAGTTCCTTCCAGAAACCAATATCACTGATGACAGCCCCACCCTGCCCCCTTCCTGATGAAAAACCGTTGAAAGAAGCTGCAGTTTTTAAATATTCAATCATACATTCTTAATGGTAGTGATTTAACTTGTTTCCATTTATCAAATTATCCGATGCAGTTTACGGTGGAGGAAAGATTAGATGATATTTGTGCTCGCGGAGTTTCAAACCCCCTTCGCGTTGTTTGAGTGACTCTTTACTTGTTGAGCTGCAGGAACAACGTTTGCCTAAGTATGAAGATTGTGTTTTACTAATTAAATTCAGAAGGTTATAAGTTTATAGAGTGGCTAAATCAATGGTTGTAAATATGTTTATATGGTAATTAATCAATGGTTATAATACATTTACAGAGTAACTAAATCATTCAATTTCTATAACTTGTAGCAGCTGATCGGTCTTGTATGAGGCTGCAGAATATGTGGCCTAGATCTTTATGATTAACGTATAATTGTAGTGACTTATTCATTTGATTCCTTGTGCCACAGTCGACGTCACTGGTCTGTTTTCTGTGTTGGAATAATCCTCTTAAACGCAAAGTAGTAAAACTCTGAGAAACGGACAGGTGTCATCGTTGGCAGAATGTTCTTTGTTGTAGCTGTGGTGTGACCATGACCTTGGTGTGTGTGTCTTGTGGGAACAATGTATTCATTTCTTTGTTCTTTTAATGGGGGTATCACCTTCATGTCAAAACTGTGGGAATTTCCCTGTGAGACAAATGACTTTTTGACTTTTTGTCTAAAATATCAAGATGAAGGTCTGTGATCGGTACTAATCTGGTTGACTTTTGATCTGTCTGTGTGGGGGGTGGGGGGCGGGGTTGGCTTTTTTTTTTTTTTTTGCACGTGTGAGAGTGAGCGTGTGGCTTTCACCCCCTGTGAAGCTCTGAAGTGAGGAGTTTTGGGTGGGGGCTTTACCCCATGTTTGTGGGTGTCGTGGCCATGGAGATGGTGAAGGGGAGGGGCTTGACATGCGGTGCTGGTCAAACAGGGGGGTCACCGGGGGCAGGAACTGGGGGGGGGGGTCAGCAGGAATGCTGGTGGCGGTACCGGGACCATGCGGGGGTGTGGACAGCACCTGCACGCAGACCACCACAGACCCCCCCCTCATCTCCTGAAGCAGGGAAGCCTGGTGTCCGGGGGGAGCGACAGACGTACGCTGTGAGGGGGGGTCCCTCGGAGAGAGAATGAAAGAGAGAATGCCGGACTCGTCAGACGGTGTTACCGGAACTTTCTGACTGCCTTAGTCCACGCTCCATTTATAACAGATTAAGGAACTTCTGAAAGGCAGAATCAGGGCTGTGAATATTGGTTATTTTCTGTTCAGAGCTTGGGAAGGTGCTATCATTCAAAGCAAGTCATCTCAGCTTTAATGGTAATTATTTCATTTATTTATTCTTTTTAGCTGGTCCTATGGATTTTTACTCACCAAAGTTTTAGACTTTGGTACATTGTCTTGCAGCTCAATTTCAATGCAGTAAAAAAAGAGGTGAATTTCCCTTGAGTTTTGCCTGGGGGGGGGTGGACAGGAGCTATTTGTCAGAATAATAACAATGGAAATGTAATGACATGGTGTAATTGACTGCAGAGGAGTTGGACACCTGGAAAGCCCCGGAAAGATGGGCTCTGTAAATATTTTAAATATAGGATAACTTAACATTTCAAAGAATGTTCTTGTCATGCTGGGAGTATTTTGGTTGTGGGTCCGCGGGCGACTGACTGTCAGCGTTCGGCTGTGATTTGAGCAGCTAATAAAAGCTCGCTATTAGCGCTCTGGGGGAGGAGACGCGTATTTGCGGAGAGTCCCGTGCGGACGCTCTCTCTGCCATCGTCGGTGGCTTTGATCTCGCCGACTCATCCGCCCGGGCGTTCCGAGCCGCGCAGTCGGTCCATCGTGCCGGAGGGGGCTCTTTGATCGGTGGGGGTGTGCACGGTCGAGCCGGCACCGTAGTCCTTACGTGGTGGGACGATGATGAAACTCGGGTGAAAGCCTTCTCGCCGAGACGCACGTTAAGCTGAGAGGAAGGAGGGAGGGGCCAGTGGTTCGAGGCGTGAATAATTCTCTTTTGACCTGGTCTCCTTCGTTCAGCCTTCTTTCTGAGATTGTGATGCGATTGTGCCGGGATCGCCTGCCCGTGCGACCACTGTCCACTGCATTGACGGCCCACGCACGTTTACACGCATCTATGAAGATACGTGTGCGTTTTTTGAAAACAGACGTCTATGAATGTTTGTGTTCACGAAAGGACGCGCGAGCACATGGGAACTCACCCATATTCACATGCTCCCCCAACCCCCCCCAGTTCTCGTGTTCATCTCTGGTGAACCTGCACGCATACCAAGAAGGAACTGACTGTCTCAGATCCAGCAGCAGGATCAAGCTTTGCATAATATACACGACCGTAGATATTCCCCTTGACAACATGTAACCATGGCGAAAGACTCAGGTCACGATCCTCCATATGTCAGTTTTGTCTAAAATTGTGAGCTTTATTAATTTGAAGTGCAGCAATATATGGATAATATTACGCTTGTCTCATGACTGTTCAGTGTTTGTCTGTTCAATGTTTGGTTGTAAATAGCGTTTCTTTTGGTGTTTTAAATGTGAAAGCTTTTTAGTTGACAGTTGTGATGATGATCCTTGACCTGGCAATCCAAGCTTTGCATGGGATTAGTCACAACGCTTATTTTACCCGTAAACATTTTGGTATTGGTCTGACTGAAATGAGAGCAAAACTTTGTTACTGCTTGACTTATTTTGCTGTAAACTGATTACCTTCAGCGGCTCTGGCGTTTACGCTGGTTTATCGTGGTGCCCAAGTGTGCGTGTCTGGTGGTCTCGTGCCACCGGTGGCATCCAAGTCTGGACACAACTGTAGTCCAAACAGTACAGTTTCAACCACCTCTGCTGTATAGATGAAATGGCGGCCATCTTGGATTGTGAGATGGTGCAGGGTGAGTGATGTGTCGGCGTGTTCTGAAGGAGGACATCCCAGAGCAATAAAGATGCAGTGGATTAGAGGTTTCGGCGCAGTTCTTGATGGTTTTCCTCCATATTAACGGGTCACGGAGGACTGTCTGTCTTCTCAGCTTGGCAGTGCACTTGCATACCCTTGAAAAGCCAAATTAGCATCACTGAAAAGCTCTTAAAAGCCAACTTGGCGTCAGCAGGGACGGTTCTTCAGTGCAGCTTTTCAAAATCCAGGTCCTTTTGAGTCACTATTTTTCAGGTCTTCTGTCCACCCTAAGCCTTAAATTCATGTTTAATTATTTCTGTAACAAACCATCATTATTGAGGGTATTAGCTGTATAGTGCTAATAGACCCAGCCGGAGACGAGGTCTGTTAAAAGGACTAATAACTTGGACCAGGGGTAGCCAGTCTTATCTTCAAAGGGCCAGTGTGTATGCAGGTTTTTGGGATAACCTTTAAGAGGTCTTTCACAATTATTACATAATCGCCTGATCGTGATTATTCGAGCTGACCGCGATTATTTTTTGCAAAATTGCTAGAATCGTCTCCATTCATCGGTATAAAAATAGGTGAATGACACATAACTGTCATATTACTATCACGATATCCACATCGTTACTGTGATCCCAGTGATTAGTTTGCTGTCAATGTAGGCAATATGATTTGCCGTAAAATGGCACGATGAAGGGTTCGGGCAGTGCAGAATCAGGTAGGTTGTACAGATCGGGTAATGACAACATTAACTGTTTATCTCAAGGGGGTTAACTTCTTATTTGTTATTTATGTTATATCTGCCCAATACATTTTTCTTTACAAAGCTTCAAAGCCAAAATCTATTTTTATTTCTGTGTTCTAGTATTCAATATTCAATTCATTGTAAAGTATATATTTAATATTAAACTACTTTTAGAGTTAACTTTAGGCTGATAATGTTAGAAAAAGAACTAAAAAGACAATAAAATCGTTAATGGCAATTATTTGTACGATAGTTAATCATCAACAAATAAAATCATGATTTTGAAAGCCCTAACCTATCGATCAGCTCGAACCCAGGTCTGAGAACTCTTCAGCCAATCAGTCCCCTACTTAGTACCCCAATTAGGGAGTAGCAGCGAAAACCCACATACCCACCAGCCCTTTCTGGATAAGATTGCCCACCCCTGCTCTAGACTTATAACTGTATCTAAATCTATTAATTCATTGTACATTCTGCTCCATGCCAAACCTTCATACCAAGTAACACAGTCATTCCCCACCCATCAGCTGATTAACTATCTATTTGTCTACGACTTAATGTCCATGTCTTAAAAATGTCATGTTTATGTTTATTTGAGTCAGCATTTATATTCTATTTATTAATTCCCATTTGCACTATGACCAATGAAAACGATGTTTCGGCTCATTACATCAATGGGAGCTTAAACTGGAAGCTCTGTCGTATTTCTGCTAATGGTTTAAACATGTTCCTGCTGAATATAGTTCCCTGCAGACTGTTGTTTCTTATGAGTAACCAGCCATGTGCACGTGTGTGAGATGGTGAGCAATTGTTTAAATAGAAATGCAAAGCCAATGACAGCCAATATGGTGAAGCTAGTCTAGCTGATTTGGTGTATTTCTATGTGTCTATATATATATATATATATATTTATATATATATGTTCCCCAGAGTACATGCTACGTTAGAATTGGAGCAAAGCCGACTCCTACTAACTGAGCAAATTAATTACTCTAAGAACGGATCTTGCATGACTTGTAATTACACTGATCAGATCTTCGCCGCTTATTCTCTCAAGATGGAAGCATCCCGAAATTCTGCGGCGCCCTCCTGCCCCCGATTTGTAAATTTTGCGTGGAAAAATAGCTGCACAGATGCTAATTCTGATTCTCCGGGATGGGCGCCTGGTTCTACGTGTAGCTGGCCGTTCTCCTTGGCGGTGACCTGGCCCTAACCGTCGCGTCCTGCGTTGTCATCACGAGGTGCATTCCGCGCTTTGAAATTCCCTTCTGACGTGTGCTTGTGGGATCTGAGACCTGCGTAAGCTTGGTGTTGTCTTGGCTCTGTGGGACTGTTTAGAACGAGCTCTTCTGCTTAGTGGTTTATTATTTTACCCAGCGGAGAGCCACCTGCTAACCGCAGAAGTTCCCAAGTGACAAGTCATCTTTCATCTCCACCTTCTAGTCCCCTGTAGGCAGTGCCCGCTACTCTTGAAAGTAAAAGTTGACTTTTCTTACATTAGTCCTCTCTACCTCATGCTAGTACTGTTTTAGCTACGTCAAAAAGAGCGTTCATCTCCGTAGAGGGCTACTAGAATTGTAAAAATGAGAGCTTCGTCTTAATTAATAGCCATCTCTGAGTGAGAGTCCATTTTGTTTTGTTTTTTTTTGTTGACATCCATCAGACTGGAATAATTGTGTCGGTGCTTCTCGACCCTTGAGTTCCACTGCACCGTGATTCATTTATTCATCTTTCTCTCCAGCTTCGGCAAGCGTTCGGCTGGCAGTCTGCGCCGTGGCTGTGAGTGCATCGTGCTGGAGCCCTCAGAGATGATTGTGGTGAGTCCGCCATTGGTCCCTCTGGTTTCCTAGCTACCGTTTACCCCACCTGCTGTGAGTTTGGTTTCCGTTTTTTTTTCTTCTTCTTGTGTTCTCCTCTATCTCGAGATTTAAGAAATAGTTTAGTATAGAATGTTTGATTTGATTCTGCCCACGGGGGATCCCGTGCAAAACTAGTTGCACTACAAAATTAATATATGTTAAAGGAGAAAAGCGTTAAATATAATTATATGAAATATCGTACCTGTACATTTAGCTTCCTAAGTGCATAAGATGAAAAGAAACACTTCAGTTTTGATGTTTTGTCTCTGTGTTGTCTGTCTGAATTTAATTTGAAGCTGGCTAACTTATGCTACTAGTTTGTGCTTAAATGTGTAAAGAATTTTGCTGTCCAGGCTAGGCTTTTGTTATGAGTACTTGAACACGCACTAAAATGGTCATTTTGACCTTGTTATTTCTGAAATATATATTTATTCGGTTTTTAAATTGTTCACTTATAAATAACAGCAAAGTGTAATGGCAGTAACGTGACTTCAAGTAGTCAAACACTGAAGCTTGTTTTTAATGTACTACTCAACTTATGACTACAGGAGTTAGTTATGTTATGAACTCTGTATTTACTGACTACCTTCCCCGAAAGAGCAGCTGTCAGTCAGTCAGCAAAGTCCTTGACTTTCACATACAGGTTCATAACTTTACCCTTTTGTATTGTTAGAAGGGGGGAGGGGGACACTAGTAGAGTTGCAGTGTCCTTCGTGGTTAACCTACCCCAGATCATATCCCCCCCAGTCACCTGCTTCTGACACATTGCAGCCCAGAATCCTTTTCAGATTGGCAGTCAGGCTCCTTTCTCCCCACTGAACTCTCTTTAACATACCGGTAATTAAATTTTAATGCCTTCTTTCCTGGAATGATGATCTTGGGCGTGTGACATGAGGATGCCATGCTTCTGGCTTCATAATTAGCTCATCGCATACATGGGAATTTTTGTAATGACACCGTTTTAAAGGGTTTTTTCTATGGCGTTTCATGGTGTCAACAACGCTCCTGGGCATTGACCAATGTATGACAACCTCTGTAAACTCCAGAAAAAGAGAGGTTTTGTCCAAATGTAGCAAGTAGTTTATTAATAATGAGTATGGAGGAATTATGAAATTAAAGGGACTTTTTAGATGAGAGAAATGACAAAGCTTTTTTCTGTCAATGGGTCAGTGACTCACTTTGAAGACACTTATTATATTGTCCTTATTATATTATGATATTGTATTCAGTCTTTTGGGTTCTTCCTCTGATGTAGCAAAACTTCTCTGAATTGCGGTTGAAACCGAAATGCATGGAGATAAACGTATATGACGTGTGTAGGTTTTATCAGGAAATTTTCATTTAAGGAAGATGAACTCCTCAGATAATTTGAATACCTACTTCCTACTTTTACAAGACTGTTAGTTGTGGGGATTATGGGAAATCTGTGATGTAAGAATATGGCTTTGTTACCTCGGTGGAGTCCTTGGTATAGAGTGTTTACATCCCCAGTCACTGGGGAGCAGTTTTGCAGGATAATTGTCGCCAGAGTTGGACATTTCAGATCCAGTAAAAATCCAGACCAGGATTTTGTTTCAACCAACCTGTTAAGTATATAGTGTCATATTCACAGAGTACTAATCTGGTTGGTTGAAACAAAATCCTGGTCTGGATTTTTACTTTCTGGACTTGAATTGTCCACTTCTCATTGCCATTCATTGCTGAGACTAACACAGATCTTGGGCAGGGATCTATGTTTTAGTTTCATAGTCTGGGGGAATCTGGACTCTCTGCATTAAAGGGGAGGAAAAAAAAAAATCAAGATCCATCGATCATCCATCGCCACTGGTTTCTGCTGCATTTGCGCTGTTGCTACCTGGATGGCACTAGGCAGTTATCTCCCAGTAGGTCGACTTCGCAGAGATGTTCTACAGATGTTTGATTAGTGTTGATGAAGTTTAGCTCGCGGTTGGCTTATCGCGGCCTTCATCGTGCGGTCGGCACGCAGCCGTTTTCTCCCTCTGCGTCCCTCTCTTTAGTATCGTCTGCGTGGGATTAATTGGTTCACGTTTTACCGGTGATTCAGCCTTTTATGTAATCCAGCTGCCTTACAGTTATTCCAGCGTGGCTCGAGTTACATTAACACAGTCATGGGCTCCGTTCCTGGTCGTGCGCCAGCAATCCGCGCTGCCATAGCAATCAGCGGTTGCCATAGCAGCGGATACTACGGTACGGAGATGACTACTGCAGAAGGCAGTATGCTGTGAGGGGAACAAATAAAAAATGAGTCTGCAGTGAAGGAGACGCGGGAAGCTGTGTGTGGGCAAAAGCATCTTCTGATTCCTCTTTCACTCTTGCATCGATTTGTTTTCCGATAGACATGCCATCTGCTCGAATCGAGACGGCTGTGGTCAAGGATCTGGGCGCGAGGATAGTTTATGCGTGCGGCATTTTGGGATTGCAGGAGTGACCTACGCGGTCTAAGCGTACGCTTTCTTGGATGCCCTGGACGATGGGGGAAATATTGCGTCTTCTCTGATTAATTTACTATTGGCATCCCTCTTTTCATTCCCCCCCCCCCCCCCTTGCTCACTGGAGAAATTAATCTCTGTGCCTGGGGGTGGGGGGTGAGTAGGGATTTGCTGAATCGCCTGTAAATTTGGTTAGTTTTGAGCGTCTCTTAGCGCCGTGTCTGTCGTTTGGTCTTCTACCTGGAAGGAACTATGCGTTCCTATATATTTGCCCCTTGGTGGTGCTTCAGCAAGCTAGCTTCAAAAGCAGCTAGCCCGACCGTTGCCTGACAACCAGGCGAACAGGTAAATCAGCATCATGTTGGGGCACGGTGCTGAAATGTGATTTTCTCCTACTTTGTCGTATTTCGTCTTTCTCCCAAGCTTTACCCAAAGATGCATTCCTGGGTCGTGCTGTCAGCCCGTCGGAGCACCCGAGACTCTCTCAGCTCGTCCTTTACCTTCTTCCCGTCTTCCCAGGTCGACTATATGGATGAAAATGAGGAGTATTTTCAGCGGCAAGCGTCACACCGACAGTCCCGCAGAAGGTTCCGGAAAATTAATCAAAAAGGAGAAAGGCAAACTATCATCGATACGGTTGACCCATATCCAGTCGGGAAGCCTCCGTTACCCCGGGCGTACCACACGGTGAGTCTCTGGGCCCTGTGATATGTAGGTGTTGTTTTTTTTTGGTTTTTGGTTTGTTTTTCTCTTTCCGTTTTCGCTTAATTTGCTGTCTGCTCTAGTTCTGTCCCTGCCTTACTGATGATAGTAAGCACACGCAGCTATTTTGGTTTATGCTGTAGAAAGTGTTGCAGTACTGGTCATGAGGTTTTTTCTTTTTTTTTTTTTTGAGCTGTGTGTGGATTTTGCTTTTAAAAGATGCGTCCGTCTGTCTGTCTCCGTGTCCGTCTGGGCTGCGTTCCTTGGTAGATGCAGGGCCCCCCTACAGGACTGTGCAGGGTTTAGGGTTGTCGGTTAATGACAAGACCCATGTTCCTGATCTTTTGACATGTTTATGCAGACATATCGTTTGTGGCCGGCAGACTCGTTCCCTTCTGCTCTGTCCCTGATCTTTTGGTGGGGGAATAAAAATCCTGTCGTCAAAATGAATTAGTACGTTGCTGCTTGTTAAATTGAGCCTTTGCACTTTCCCACGATCTGCAGTTGCTGGATTTCGGCTAGTTTGATGTCGATGCGTATGCTGATAGTCAATAACAGGTCGTGTTATCCCACAATGCTTGTATTTAGTATCTCTTTAATCGTACTGGAAAAACTGTGCAGTCATTTTGGATATACAGTGTTTATGCACATAAAAAACAGATAATTAAAAAACAATTTTAGAAAACTGCAAAAATAACATATAATCATATTATATAACATGTCAACAAATCTGGCACCGGAAGACAGCAAGTTTAACAAATGTATTTTTATCGCTTGGAATTTTTAAGGTTAAAGGTGAGAGCTGCTTTTTTCATATCATTTATAAAGACCAAATTAAGTAAATTGTCTTGGAATTGATTGTCATGGAATGTAGTGCATTTCCAGGGTTTGCTTTAGAGGGGTTTGCCTTATGGGTTTAGCTTATGATGTGGTTAGCTTTAGCTCGGTTAGCTTTAGCTCGGTTAGCTTTAGCTCGGTTAGCTTTAGCGGATTTAGTGTATTACTATTTGATATTATTGTCTTGATATATTCAGCTCCAAATCACGCAAAATCTCAGTGGATGCTAAGTTATTAAAGAAAATTCACATTCTTGATCTTGCTTCCTTTTAGAAAGGTCTGCTGGTGACAGGTTGGCATACACTGATTATCTTGGCGAAGTGCATCATGCACCTCAGAATTTACATCTTGGAACCAACATGGCTGCCTTCACAAACATTGTTGTTGTTGATGTCTGAGCACACAAAAACTATAGTATTCTCTAAATAGACTGAGCCCAACTGCATTTATTACTATTAATACATTTAACAAAATAATCATTTTGAGGTATTTATTAATTAGAGAAGCAGTGAAACCCTTTCTGTTGACTGTATAAACCACCATCTTGAAATGATGACACAGGGGAATGTAATACAACAAACTGCTGTCCAACATCAGCGTCGGAAAAGGGGTGTGTTTCGGACGGGAAGTGACATTTTCAGCACACTTTCATGACGTTTTTCTCCGACTTAGAACTCTGAGAGAGGTAATCAAACGTAGCATTAGATACTGTAAATGCCGAGCTTTCAAAGCAAAGCTAATTTGTTAACTTGCGGTCACACTTCCCATCCATCCACCCACCCGTCTTCAAACAACTTCTCCCAGACAAAGTCATAGGGGGACTGAAGCCCATTCCAGTCCGTTCCATGCTGGGTCACAGTGTGAATGGGTTTGAAACCCTCAGTCTGAAGGTGTGAGGCAGAAAAGTTGCCCACTACACCCCTCATGCTAAAACCTTTGACTTATTGACAAAATGAAGACTGTGCTTTAAGCCAAACTGCCCTTGTGTCAGCTTTGACTTCCAGAACATTGTCCATTCAGTCATTTCAAACTAATCAGGTTAAACCAGAGGTGCCGCTTTTGTGCCATTTTCTTAAACTCCGTGTCTTCGGAGTACAGAACGTTCCCTTTTCCCGGTCGGAAACCGCATCATTTCCAGTCCTCCCAACAAAAAAAATCTTATTGTTATTTATCCAGCAAAGCAGGGTAATGAGCCAGGGGGAGAATGTGGTCAAGATGTCTGAGCAGAATCTGAAATATTTCTGCCAGATTGTACTCATAATGCTTCATAGGATTTCCCCTGCTATGCCTGTCTCCTGATGCACGCTTACAGATCGTTAGATTGTCGCTTATGACCACATGGGTTAAGCTTCCTTGGCATGATTTATATTTGTTTTGTATTTTTTAAATTCTCTGCTTGCATGGAAGTTTGTTATGGAAGCGTCCTGGGGCTCGTTTTTTTAAAACCTCAGGCTTTTGGTGTCAATGACCTGGGTTTGAGAAGGCGGCATGTGTGATGATTCTCATTTTTTTTTCCTTTCTTTTGATGCCGATCATTTCATTTCGGCGCACAGGAATGCCCTAAATCACAGGTATTGTAATCCACTACGTGTTATGTGTGTCCGCTAGCGTGTGCGTCCGCTGGCGTGTGCCGTCTGGCTCTGTCTGTGGTGACCGTGACATCCGTCTCGACGTCGTGCGTGCGCGTGTATGTTTGTGCGTGCTTGTGTGTGCTTGTGCGTACTTGTGCGTACTTGTGTGTGTGCGTGCACATGAGCGTGTCTGTCTCCTGTTTGCTTGATCTGTGTTCAGTGTTGCTCAGCTGAAAAAATGCTGTATTTACCTGAATTTCATTTAAGGGGTTAATGGCTAAATAATGTTTTTTTGCCATGAAATATTTTATCTGTTTTGAAAAATGTTTTTTTTCCCATTTATTTGTAACCAAAATACATTGAATTTTTATTTGGACAGAAAAAGTTTAGCACAAAAAATCCTTTCCTAGAGTTTTAAAAATGCACTTAAACCTAGAAGTTTGTACTTCAGTGTCAGACCTTTGCAGGACCTGAATGGATATCTGAAGATACTTGTTCACTGGTCTGTTTGAACTACCCTTGCATTTCATACCTGAATGTCCCTGTGAACATGCTTTCTGGAACATCTCGTGTTAACGTTCCTCACGCTAAAATCCCAGCGTCCTATGTTTAGATTTGTCCTTTTGACTGGACGTGAAGGTAAAACATTTAAAACATTTACGACGAGTGTCCGTGTTACGTCACGTAACCTGTAAGAGGAATAAAAAGCTGTGCGCTATGGGGAGGCGATGAATGTCGGTATCATTACGTTATTGTGGCCACGTCTGCGCTATTTTGAGCGGATCGACGAGTGGGATTCGAATTTTACAGCTGCCACGATTCAAAGTACACGTGTACGGGATCAGCGGTCCTGCTCAGCGTCCTCGTAAAACCCGTGTGTGATGAGAGCAGCCGGATCGATAAAGCGGGGCCTTGTCATTAAGACCAAAGGCGGCACCATTTCGGACCAAGTTACAGTGCTGCGTGTCGTTATTACAGAACCCGAGCAGAGAGCGCGGGGAACTGCAGGCCGAAATTTTTTTACTCTTTGATCATCCCGCAATTTGATGTGTGATTTTTTTATTTAATTTTTTCCTCCAGTGCTGTAAATAAATTATGTTGAGAAACAAAGTGAAATGTAAGGGTATGAGAAAGGTGGGGGGGGGGGGGAAAGCCAACCAGGGTTTGCATGGGGGTGGGGGGACACCATATGACGGCTGTCGGCAGAGTGATACCTTCTGCCCGAGGGACCGCGGAGGGGCCACACCGTCTGTCACTCAGGTGTCGCATATGAACCCCCCCCCCCCAGCTCAGGGCTGACCTCAGGGAAAAGGCACCGCTGACAACATGGCAAGTCTGGACAAGGGAAATGTCTCTTATAAGCACCATATGAGCTCTGCACGTATTTTCCCGCCGCAAACTATGTTTTGAATCTCGTTTCGGCAATATCTTTAATGTTTTGAAAGAGAACCCATGAGGAGCCTGATTTAAATTCACGTCCCGTTTCCTTAGGGCGTATTTACCCGCTAAAGCCTCACACTACTAACATACAGAACAGAAATCAAGTGCGTTTCAGTAATTAGAGAGAATAATGACATTGGCCTTTTAATTTCCATTGGTCCTGCCGCTATGGCATTTCCCGCGTCATGCCTGACTGCAAACACAACTCCACGTCCTCATGCCGGCCAATCCGAGAGCAGCGTCGGGGGGACTTCTAGGCCGGAATGCAGGCGGGATTGTTTTGGACGCCTGGGACTGAAATAGCACCGCGTTTGTGGCGTTCGTGGGAGCGGTCGGCTGCATTCGTGATTCTCCCGGGGAATTTGCAGGAAGCAGATTTAGATTCGGGTGTTAGATGTTTGTGCACGTCCGCTCTGTGCCGTCCAGAGAAGACTGCCATGTTGATGGAGACTTCATATAATAATAAACTGTTAAAATACAGTTTCTGTAAATGCTAGAATCATTTGCTGTGTGACTGTCAAATGTTCACATGCATAGTACCATGTACTGTAGTACAGAGTAGTACGACGTAGTGCAAATTCATAATGGAATAGTCCCATGTTGGTTTCTGTAACTTGTAGAGCGCCACCTATGGTCACTTCCTTTACTGGTCAGATACACTTCCCACACCTGCAGATCTAATAATTGTTTTAATTAGGGCTTTGTACAAAAACAGGTTCTGCCTTGGCCATCTTCCTAGCTAAACCTTGCTTTAATACTGCCGAACTGATCTTGATAATTCTTTCGGTGGATGTTAGACCGTGGTGGTTTTGCCGAGATCACGGAATGTACTCCACCCCCCCTTTCCGTTTTATCTGTGCCCAGTATTAACCCCGAAGGTGTCGTCCATTTGATGAATGGTTTTCTCCTTTACTATCCTTCCCACTCCCTTAAAAACCAGAAAAAAACCTCGCCTGGCCCCCAGGCCATTGTTTGACCTGACCTCTTTGTCCCTAAGGAAATCCCCCCCCCCCCCTTTTCCGAAGCAGTGGAGCTGGTGGAACCGCGCCAACACTGAGCACCTGCCCTACCCCGACTTCTTCAGCTGTATTGTGTATGGATGGAGTGCAACCGGGGGGGGGGGCTGTTTCTTAGTACACATGCCTCTTCCTTCCCTCTGTCTTTCCTTACTTGGTTCCAGTTGTACTTCTGAAGATAAAGGATCCGGTTATATTTGTGGTGGTGGAAATCAAACGGCCTGTTTGTTAGGTACGCTGAGTGAATGTGGCACCGCATTGTGGTGGGATGCAGCCCGATGAAGGATAAGACAGCGTCTTTGCTGAAGGCCAGGTGAGTGCTGCAGTGCTTGCTGGAACATGTGAGGCGTTAATGACGTACTCTGAGAAACTAGCTGTTGACCTTCTTACGGTGTGTGTGTGTATGTGTGTTTGTCGTTAACCCCCCCCTGTCTTTTGTGCAATCAATGCAGACAGTCGCGTGGAGTGGGGGAGGGGGGAGTTGGAGTGGGGGGTGATCTTTGGCAGCCATGAGGTGAGGTGTTCGCTTGGTTAAGTTGTCACGCTGGTAGTTCTGGAGTGGGGGGGGGGGGGGTTTAACGTCGCATTCAGCAGCTAATGGACCGAGACATGGAGGACATGGAGTGGGGGGGTCGATCACAGACATGCTCCTGTGCTCCTACCAGCCTGGACATTTGAGTCATGGACGGATCTGAATGCAGATGATGTGGGGGTGTGTCGAGCCCCGGTGCCATTTTTACATGCCTGCACGGCATGGTCCCCCCCCCCCCCACCGATATTTGATCTCTCTTTCTCCTTGACCTCTGCCGCTCTCTCCTTCTCTCCCGTTTCCGAGGCCTTGCCCGGGCAGGCCCTGTCGCCATCGATCGGATGCCTGTATTCTCCTCCGTGGGCCCCCTGAGTGCGTGCGTGGCCGGCACAGCCTGGAGATAGCTCGCTGTGATTGGCTGGAGAGGCGTGGGGCTTTGCTGAAGGTGAACGCGGCCCAGTCGGTCGCCAGTGTCCATTTCTTGACTGATGTGAAGAGATTGTCGTCTGGGATGGTGTCTATATCAACGTGTCAGTGTGTGTGTGTGTGTCTGTCTCTCCTCCTATCTGTGTGTGTGACACTTCTTTAAAAGGCAGCAGTGCCGCTGGTGGTTGCCCCACATGGTCCTCACTCCCTGATGGAGGACTGAAGGTGCATCAGGGTGCCCGCTTGACGTGAACTTCCTGTCCCGCTGCGTCCCGGAAAGGATGACGCGTGCACTGTGCTTTACTTTCCCACGCGCGGTTATTTGTGCCTCCTGGATAAGTAGGGGGTGCTGTCACGTCCGGAAGCGAGCCGCTTTATATGGCTACGATTCTGGGGGGCAGGGGTTGGGGGGGGACGCTGTGACATCACCGACTCTGTGCCAGCCCCCTCTTAATACTTTTTCTAGATCTTGCCCCATCCTGTAAGACAGGGCTCTTCAAATCTGGCCCTCGATTCCGAATCCAGGCCGCGTTTTCAGTTCTCCCCTGTAGTTAGTTTAATAATCGCTGATTCTGATTGGCCAGAAGCTACACCGCTGGCTCACGGGCAAAGGGAGAATGGGAAATCAGCAGGGCTCTTGAGGACCGTGATTTGAACAGCCCCTCTGTAAAGTCACCGTGATGATAGCATTACTTTTTGAGGATTTTTTTTTTGTGGGGCAGGGAATTTTTTCTGTCTCTCCCTACCCTGTCCCTCTCTCACTCACCCTAGTCGACTGCCACCTCTTATTGCTCCTTAAATCTGAGCGGTGATTGGGTTGGGGGGGTGGGGCGGTGAAAAGCCGCGCACCATTAATTGCGTCGAGCGGCGGCGGCCGTCCGCGCTCATGCGGCGCCGTTAGCCGCCGGGAGGGAGAGCGCTACACCTCCGGCTCTGGATTCTCCTCTTCGATTCCTCCTCTTTTTTTGTAAATGAGACTAGGGTGTTAACGACACCCGGCTGAACCCTGATAGCTGGGTGCTGATAGCCGGATCCCCCCACCCCCCCCTAAATCCCATACTATTTAGATATTTCATGGAGTCTTTTGAGGGGGTTCTGTCCGCATCTCTGCGGGAGCCAGCCGCGCGTGTGAGTGTGCAGTCAGCCATTTTAGCTGCCCCCCCCCACACTCACAGTGCCGCTGCTGATTTTAAAATTATTATTATTTTTTTTGTCTTCCTCCTTTTAAAAATCCTTATTGGATTCGGTGGCGTTAGTGAACGCATCCTTTCCAGTTCTCCCCCCCCCCTCCTCCTCCTCCTCCTCC